GTTTGTCATCTCCGCCTACGCCCCTACAGACTGCAGCACGGATGCAGTCAAGGAACTTCTGTGTTCCGCCAAAAGGACGGATATAGTCATTCTTGCCGGGGACTTCAACGCACGAGTGGACCGCCTTCCACCAAGCGAGTACCACCTTGCGGGTAGTTTTGGCCTTTGTGGCAGTCGATCAGACAATGGAGACAAACTGCTTGTTCTTCGCTATGATCATCGCCTGTTTCTTCCGAGCACTAGAGGAGACAAACTGCTACCTGGCGCCCGCCCTCACAAACTCAAGAGTGCCCCCAGCTTGACCACCTAGCAATCAGGTACAGAGGGCGCGGAAGCGTAACAGAATGCCGATCGTACTGATCAACTTTTCTAGACTCCGATCACGCATTCGTTCATGCTGATTCGCATACGTTTCAGAGGATCACCCAAGCACTCACTACCGACCGGACGTCGCGATTTTAACTAGGTACCAAGCCTCACAGTCAACATTGCTTGGCTCAACTACTGACGGTGACCTCGATTCGCAGTGGGCGCAGATCAAAGATGCCTTAATTTCCGCCAGTATGGACACTTGTGGAGTTACCCGTTACCCACCGAAGCATTGGATTTCCACCGCTTCCTTGTCGCTAATGCACAAATGCCGCATTATCCCGTCGGATTCCAGACACAGTGAAAAACTTAAAGCAGTTAGTTCCCTTCAACAATTTGAAAAGCACGGAAAGAAGACGAAGGCTGGTAGATGCATGCATTTCGTATTGTCTCCTCAGTACCATTAACAATAACCGATAAGCATACATATAGCTAACAGTGGGTGCAACCAGACAAGCTCAAGGTGCGAAACGTATGATGGAAGTTCACACCTACGTCCAAGGCAGCTTTAGGCTGACATATAATTGTTTCTGAACACACAAGGCTGGCTTAATCCGGCTTATTGCGACAGCCTCAGCAAACCGAAGGAAGCGGGAATTAGTGTGATGTAACACAACTTTAAACGCTGAGCCCAGCTCTATCTGGTGACCCGAGTCTAATAGGTGTTTGCCTATCGAGGAAGCCGGCGGTCTGCGCGAACATGGGATCTGACGAGGGTAGGCAATCTGAGCAACTTCACGTTGAACCCATCTTGGCACATGTTCCTTTATTCGGGAAGTCAGCGTTCTATTGGTTCTGCCTATGTAACTTTTTCCGCAGTCACATACAAATTGGTATACACAGTGTGAGTTGGCCCCAATAGACTGAGCTTCCTTCGTTGGAGGTATGGGCAAATTTCGGGTTCGGTTGATAACGACAACTTGTGCAGCATAGTAACTTCCTTGTGTAGCCGAAATTATACGCTTAGTTGTCTTCAGCGTCGCTAAGTCACCTTTGAAAGGTAACTCGATATACACTTTCTTCTTGGCTGCCGTGTGCACCAAGTCCTTTGGTCCTCGCGGTTGGCTGTGTTTCTCGTTAACTCTTCAAGGGTAGCCATTCGCCATTAGTGGTGCTGTAGTTAACACTAGCTCATCGTCCAGACAGTCGGCCGAACAAATTCGTCTGACACGACTAACTAGAGTCTTCACAAGTGTCCGTTTGTACCGCACTGGTGTGAAGCTGGTGAAGTGCAGGTACTGACCGGACCAAGTCGATTTTCGGTAAACTGACCTCTTAATCAATCCACCCTCCCTGCGAGTTATGAGTATGTCCAGGTATGGTAGACAATTGTTTTGTTCTATTTCACATGTAACCCGTAAGTTGGCATGAGCACCATTGAGCCGTTCTAGCAAATGTGTGAGCTGCTGCTTCGACGAACAGAAAGCCAAGATATCATCGACATATCTTTTGTAGTATGGCACCTGGGCTATTTCTGTAGAAATGTTTCTTTACACCATCAACATGAAGAAATCAGCGAGCACAGAACCTAATGGGCTACCCATTGCTACGCCGTCAATCTGACGGAATGGTGTATTCCGGAAGTGAAAAGCCACATTCTGCGTGCACAAAAGTAGAGATTCTTTTAGCAATTCAGTCGGAATTGGTAGCGAACAGCCACCGTTTTCAGCTAATTCGCACACGTAATCAACCGTCTGATGCAGCGGCACGTTGGTAAATAAGGATTCTACATCCAAGGAACATATAACTTTGTCTGACAGGTTGAGTTCATCCAGATCATCAATGAGTTGAAACGAGTCTTTAAGACTGTACGGATTGTTTCAGCGGAGCTAGCAACTTCACTAACCAACGAGCGAGTTTGTGCTGGGGCGTGTTCATCATTGAAAGGATTGGCCTGAGTGGCACTTCACACTTATGTGTCTTTGGGGACCCATGCAACTGTGGAATAGTGCTACCAATCGGCTTCAAACTATTAAATGTATCAAAGTCTATCAGGCGGTGGAGGAGAAGTAATTCCAGATGACGAATTATGCGCACTTCGACATTGGTCATGTCCCCCACTTTCGTGAGCCGTTCGAATTAACTCGCATCGTTGAGCATGGCGCACATCTCATTTTATTCGGTTTTATTCATGATTACCACTCCCGAACCCTTATCTGGTTTCATTACGACTACGTCCTTAGCTCGTAGTTCACATAAAGCCTGAAAAGGTCGAGCTGTGATGGCACATTTTTCATTAGTTGGCATGGTTTTCACCTCATGGGCGATATCAGTTAACTTGTTTCTGAAGCAAATATGCTTATCAGGGCTGGTTAGTTGGAGCTCCTTAAACTGGTCAAAAAAGTTCTCAAATTGGGCTCCTATAAACAAGCCGTTCAACGTTCTAGGGGGCTTTTGTAAGCGATAATGCTTCTAATTGCAACGCATTAAGTTGTACGTTCGATAAATTCATCATGTACTTACTGGGATCACGAGCAATTGGTTCCTCCTCCTGGTTGTTCGTCAGCGAATTTTCTAAACGAGCAAGCGATTTTGTCTCGTACGATCAAGAGTTGATTTACAAAAGTTAATGAAAACAATCCGGCAACATAGAGACAGATCCTCGATCACGGGTAGTAAGCGTGCATGAGTTTCTAGTAGTTCCGCAAGTCTGGTTTGAGCCGTCTCTAGGTGAGCGGACGCCACACGTCTGAGGTTAGCCGCAGAGGGCTTGAGTTTGTTTCTACGCAACAGTAAAATAAGCTGGATTAAGCCAGCCTTGTGTGTTCAGAAACAATTGTTTGTCAGCCTAAAGCTGCCTTGGACGTAGGTGTGAACTTCCGTCAATCGTTTTGCACCTTAAGCTTGTCTGGTTGCACCCACTGTTAGCTATATGTATGCTTATCGGTTATTGTTAATGGTACTGAGGAGACAATACGAAATGCATGCATCTACCAGCCTTCGTCTTCTTTCCGTGCTTTTCACAGTGAAAAACGCCAATCCCTGGGTCGAGAATTGCGCAGGAGTCTGCAAATAGACCGCAAAGCTTGATGGTGTGAACGTGCTAGAGATGCAACTTGCTAATCCTTCTGGTAATACCAGAAAAGTTATCCTTCTCATTCGAGTCACCGAAGGTGTTCGATCTGGTAAAAGTGAAACAATATGCACCTTAGCCACCAATCCTCAACGACGGCTGGAGTGATAGACCGAACACTTTGGCTCGCAGCTTTGTTGGCCCCCAACTTCATCTGCTACCAGTCGCGCTCGCACTGGTGCCGAGTGATCTACCCCCACAGATCTTCCCTCTTACCAGGAAAGCGAGAAGGAGCTCCGCCACATGAAGCGTTATAAAGCCTCCGGCCCAGATGGTCTTCCTCCAGCTCTATTCAAAGATGGTGGCCCGTCGCCGGTTCGAGAACTCACTGCTTCGTTTTCGAAAGGTTGGTCTTGGAGTGAATCAATAATCGTTCCTAATCTTCAAAAAGGGCCTGCGCACAAGCTGCTCCAACTACAGAGGCATAAGCTTAGTCTCCGTCGTTTGCAAGCTGCTGGTGTCTATCATACTTCAAAGGTTATCCCCAACGCGCGAATCGTCGCAGCGAGAAGGACAAGCTGAGTTTCGCCCTAATCGCGGCTGCATCGACCAAATCTTCACA